TGGCAGGTGATGTGGCCAGGCCTGAAATGACATTCTGCTAGATGATGTGGTCAGGCATAGAACGGCAATCTGGCAGATAAATTGGTAAGGCCTGAATTTGCAATCTGGCAAATAATGTGGCCAGGCCTGAAATGGCAATCTTGTAGATCATGTGAGAGCAGTCCTGAAATGGCAATTTGGGAGCTATGTGGACATGCCTGAAGCATTTGGTTTTAAGATGAATGCGATAGGGCCGCAAATCTGGCAAAACAAGAATCGAGAAACGAGACTGCAAAATGAGAATCACACCTAACGAGAACTGGTAACGAGAATGTGGTAGATGGCGTCGTCTATCACACCTTCTAATCCCCAGATGGGAATATGGCCCGGTTATTTGCAAAGGCTAGAATGGCAAACAGCCCAATATGGATTGTCATGCCCGAATCATTACCTGGCCAAGCCAAGTGTGATGGAAAATCTGAATAGCAGGTGCTGTCTTGAAGGAAGAGAAGCTACTAATGTACTCTATTTTCCCTGGACATTTATGTCAGCTGGAATGGCCATCTAGCTGGCCACTAGTTGTCTCGCCTAAAATGGCATCTAACAAGCGTTTTTTGAGTGACCAGGCCTGAAGTATATGGGCAATGAGATATTCATGCTTGTCAACAAATCTGGCCAAGTGAAGTGTCTACGCCTAAAGGCTACAGTGTATGGCTTATGTCTCTGGTTAATGGGCCTGTCTAATGTCTTTCGCAGATGTGTCGGACTTATGTGTCTGTCTGGTCTGTCTGGCTCATGTAACTGGCTCATGTGTCCAGCTCATGTGTCTGGCTCATGGGTGTGGCTCATGGGTTGGCTGGCTTGTGAAGGATATGGCAGAATGTGAAAGAACCGAGCACCCCGATGGATGGCAGGAAACTGGAAGAGTTGGGTTGGGGGGGTTTACCTGCAGAACTGTTCTCTTCAGTATCACCAAGCTAATGCAGTGCGTGCTTGCGTGGCATGTGCAAAAGTGACAATGAGCTGCATGTTTGGGTGAGATGTTTGGGAGTTTTGATAAGCCAGCGTCAGTGAACCTTGACCATCCTTCGGCTTCAATGGGTAACTCACAACTGCTGACTGAAGAGAATTTAACTACTTTGCCCGGCATGAGAACCTTGACCAACGTTTGGAAGAACATTGATATTCAAGGCCCTAAAAAAGATTACCCTGACTTCACAGGGCATCTTAAGGCCTGACAATGAAATCTCAGGAAATTGTACCGACCCACACGCTGCAACTCAGGAATTCAGGGGATTTTACCCTGAAAACGTAGGGTCTGGTTACGCTAAATAGCGAATCTGGCAAGTGAAGTGGTCAGGCTAGAATGAGACTCTAGGAATTGAATTATCAATGAGAATCCGGCCAGAAATATCATTTAGCAATTGAATTGTTCAGCACACAATGAGAATCCAGCCAGAAAGAGAATCCAGCAAATGATTTTGTCAGGCCATAACAAAGATAAAGCAAATGATATACTCTGTTGGAATCCAGACAAATCTAGTCCTCTCGTTTTTTCCGTAGGATTGTCTGGTCCTTTCGAATTTAGCAAGTTTATGTTTCCCAACCAAAAAATGACTATCTGGCAGGTGGTGTGGTCAGGCTTGAAATCGCAACCTGGCAGATGATGTGGTCAGGCCTGACTTGGATTATGGCAATTTCGTTGATATTTGGTAATCTGGCAAACCACGCGGTAAGGCCTAACGAGGGAACCTGGCAGATTGTGCAGTCAGGCATGGAATGGCAATTTTGCAGTTGATGCAAGATAGCATAGCTGTGTTTCAAATGCATGCCTTACCACATGCATGCCTTACCACAAGCATGCCTTACCAGATGCATGCCTTAACACAGTCATGTCTTATCACATGCATTTATTTTCACATGCATTTCTAATCACATGCAGGCGTTTTTTGTTCCTCTTTCTCCACAAGCCTTGCTCCATCTCTGTCGACGGTTTTCTGTATGTGAAGGGGATGGTTACACAGACACATATCAGTGCATTGAACTTGATGAACTTGATGAACGGCCAAGGGGGTGAAATAGTGTCCACAGCAGGCCTTGCCTTCAAAGTACTCTCTAAACGTCAAGCTACTCAAGGCAAGGTACCCAAGGCAAGGTACCCAAGGCAAGGTACACAACATCAAGTACAGTGCGCCATCCAATCTGGCACGTTGAACGATCATCGCTTCTCCGAGGCTAGAGGAGAGGGGACGAATGGCAGCAGTGTTACGATACCATCCAGAGTGCCGTATCACAGCACCACCGCCATCTCTCCCCTGCACCCTCGCCAAGCATCCCTTCACCTTCCAATGACCCCTCAGCCAGCCAGTTCTCTGCACCACCACTCTCTACTCTACTGCAGCAACATAGCAACAAGGTCCTGCTGGCCGTTGAGGCGGAGGAAGAGAGGGAGGGGCGTGGAGGAAGAGATGCGGGCGAGCAGAGAGGAGGCGAGAGCAGCATTGAGCCGAGTCTCCCCCACCAGAGAGAGCACTCTAGCAGTAGTAGTGGCAGCAGCGTTGGCTCCTGTGTTCACGTTTGCTGCAGCAGCCACCCAAGCACCTGGCAGAACCACCAGAGGGGTCAGGACTGAAGGCACCGAACCAGCAACCGAGCCCGCCACTGAACCAGCCAAATTTGCGACCGAGCCTGCTGCCTTGCCTGCTGAGCCTGCTACTTTGCCTGCGGTGCTAATTGCTGAGCCTGCAGTGTTGTCCACCAAGCCTGCAGCTGAACCTGCAGCATTACCTGCAGTGCCAGTGGCCAAACCTGCAGTATTTCCCACCAAGCCTGTTGCCGAACCTGCAAGGTTCCCTCCTGAGCCTGCTGCCTTCCCTGCAGTGTCAACTGCCGAGCCTGCGGCAGTGCCGACCAAGCCTCCTGCCAAGCCTGTAAGCCTCCCAGCAGATCCTGCCACCTTTCCTGCACTGCCAACAGTGGAGCCTGCAACAGTGCTAACCAAGCCTGCTGCCGAACCTGCCGCCTTTCCTGCAATGCCAGCTGCCGAACCTGAAAGATTGGCTGCCGAGTCTGCTGCAGAGCCTGCAAGGTTCCCTGCAGACCCTTCCACCTTTCCTGCAGTGCCTACTGCCGAACCTGCAGCGTTGCCCACCAAGCCTGCAGCCGAGCCTGCTGCGTTGCCCACCACGCCTGCTGCCGAGCCTGCAAGCCGCCCAGCAGAGGATGCCACCATTCCTGCGGTGCCAGCAGTGGAGCCTGCAACTTTGGCTGCCAAGCCTGCTGCTGAACCTGCGAAGTTCCCTGCGGATCCTGCCACCTTTCCTGCTGTGCCTACTGCCGAGCCTGCGGTGTTGCCCACCACGCCTGCTGCCGAACCTGCAACACTCCCCGCAGATCCTGCTGCCTTCCCTGCAGTGCCTACTGCCGAGCCTGCAACATTACCCACCACACCTACTGCCGAACCTGCAGGCTTCGCGGCCGCGCCTGCCACATTCCCCGCTGTCCTCCCCACACCAGAAATAGCTCCAGACACATCCGAAACAAACCCAGCAGGAACCACATTCAGGCTCGGCGACCCTCCAAGACTGGCTTGGGAGCTATCCGAAGCTGTGTTGGCAGCCGCTTTGGCACCCACATCAGTTGAGGATTCGAGGAGAGCGGAGGAGAGGGAGGGGATGGTGCAGGGGTTGCGTGTGACGATGGCTGGGGGTGAGGAGGGGGGCTGGGCCATGCCTTGCGCTGTGATCTTGTATGTGAGGATCACAGAGGTGCCCCTGGGGGGTGATGTGAGAGGGGAGGGAGATGGAGATGGACTGAGGGTCAGTGGGGTGGAAGGGCGAAGGGAGAGTAGGGAGGTAGCCTGAGTCTCTGACTTTAAATAGGTCATGCATTTTGTGGCAATGAGGGGAAATGAGAAGTTGGAGGTACCTTCTGAGAATGCTGATGTCAGCAATGCCGTTAATGTCGGATCTGACGTCAGCCATTCGCCCACCACAAGTGTTGAAGGTCCCATGGAGAGAAGCTGGTGGGAGGAAAAAACACAAAATAAAATAGCGCAGATTCGGGAAGTTTGACGTTGAAAATTTTCAGTTGTACCTGTAGTTAAGAGATTACAGCTTGTATTTTGGAGATTTTTGGTTGAAAATGGGCACTCCTAATGACGAGATGAAACTCACCCAGAATCTTGGAGCCGATTCCAAGCCCGGTACGCGCAGCGAGGGCAGATGGAGTGAGAACTGCTGAAGCAAAGGAGAATCAAGGTGCATATCGAGAGAGGTTCGGTACAGGAGAATCATGTTTAGTGATAGAAGCGCTCAAAGAGTTTTACGAGACTTCAATAGTTGAGGATTGATGATTTAGCTTCTCATATATCCACGAAAAGAACTGGAAATAGAGGAGGGTTGGGAGCTGGAAACCGGGACTTTGGAGACTCGGCATCCGAAGTCGCTCACCTGCAAGTACGATGACGACGAGCAGAGTCACAGCGGCGCGAGGAAACAAGCAACCCATATCGGTAGGCTGGGAAGAGGTCCCGCGAGTGAAGGAAGAGCACAGCAGAGAGTCGTACACTGGAGTCAGGTTGGAGGAATGGGTCTCCCAGAAGTGGGTTTGGTTGATTGTGCTGTCGTCGGAACTGAGGTGCCAAATGTTGGAAATGTTCGAAATTTATTCACCCTTTTCCGGGCCGCGAATTGAGTCCCGCGGCGCTTTCTGATTTTTGTTGGCGGTCGGGCAGGCCACGTGGCGGCTACGTTTGAACTACAGTGGCGGTGGGGCAGGCTGACTGCCGAAACCCGCAGGCCACCGAAAATGTTTCGCGTTGAAAGCAGTCAACGGTCAGTGTAGATTCGGACTTGATTGAACGCGGAAACACATTCCTCGATAGTAGGTTATGTAATCTGGAATCGTTTTTCTGAAAGAAAAACTCTCACATCACTTGTGAAACTAGGCTCGTCGTCTAGTTCGCGACGAGTAGCTGCTCCGCGGTACGAACTATCGATGCCACAAGTTGTGGCTGGTTCGAGTGAGAACCTAGCGGCGGTTAGCATGTTAGCCGGGTAGGGTTTTCCGCAGAGCTTGGTTATTGCTTGGCAACAACTTGAAGGTGGTAGGAGTCCGTTGCGATAAGTGATGACGATGTGTTCAGAAAGGGGTACGCCGATGACGCGACCATTTATTTTCCTGTCGAAATTAGAAGGGCGCGGTAGGATGGTTAGGCCCAGGCGCCGGTGGGAAACGCAGACGATTACAAACCTAGCAGCATGGGCTTTCCGTGGCCTAATAGACGACCTAGTCCGGTTTACGTCGGTAGTACTTAGCAAGCTCGGTTCCTGCAGTTGGGTCAGACGCGGAGGGTGCGGTGCGGGCGATAGAAGCAAGGAGGTCGTTGGTGAGAGAGCCCATTTCCCGCGAAATCAAGGTGCGACGGACTTAGCGGTATTTGTTCCTGCAGGTGTTGACTGGACCTCTTAGGGACCTCTTATCTGTCGACCGTAAGACGCGGGTAGCAGCGGCATCTCCCAGTGGCGCTTGCAGATCCTTGCTGGGCAGCACGAGAAGAAAACGCCGACATGGGGCTCATCGTGGGCGCTGCTTTGCTGTGCTCTCGCCGGCAGGAGTCTCCGCCACCACGTCCTCTCGTTCTCCGTGAGTGGAGCGCTTTCATGCTCTCTGCCGCTGCGCTGGTGCTGCGCTGGTGTTATCCGCTTTCATGCTCTCTGCCGCACACCATCAGTTTTCCCATAACCTCCCCATAACCTCCCCATAACCTCCCCATAACCTCCCCATAACCTCCCCATAACCTCCCCATAACCTTTCGCCATTCCTTGTACCCTTCCAAATCACCTTCCCAATCAGTATCACCTTCCTGTCGTAGTGCAACAACCCCCCCCCCCCCTCCCCCACCCCTCTCACCCCTCCCCTCCCTTTTTCGCCCGCCAGGTACACCGCCTCGTGGTGTGTCAGAGGCTCTGGTCTACCCTTAACCCTACAACGTTCCCAAGGGCACCATCCTCTTTGTCCCTGTAAGCTCCCTCTCTCCCACTCTCCCTCACTCTTCCTCACTCTCCCTCACTCTTGCCCCTTCTTCTCTCGGCTCCCCTTAACCTTCTCCATCCCCCCCTCTCTCACACTCCTCGCTTCTCTTTTCTGCGTGGCTGAGGGTGCTGCCTGCGTGTTGCATCCACGCATCAACGCCATTCTATCCGCCCTTCCGTGCCCTCCCCCACCAACCCCCACCCCCTCGTCAGGTGTTCAGCCCAAACCGCTCAGCCCTCTCCTGCAAGAAGAGCAGCCGGGGGAGTTTCATCCGATGCTGATCATGGCACACACTGCCCGTCCCATCACGTCCTTCCCATCACCTCGTCTCCCCCCTTCCCCTTTCCTTCTTTCCCCCACCCCCCCTCCCCCCCGGACCCTTCACATGTTCAACATCAGTCGCTCGCCACACTTATGGGAGCAGCCGGAGGAGTTTCGCCTGGGGCGGGCAGGCCGGTACTGCTTCCCTCGCTGATCTCTCCCTTGCTTCCTGGCCGCTGCTGTCCCTCTCGCCTCTCCTCCCCGGCCCCCCACTTCCCTCCCTGCACCCCTCTCCCTTCAGCCATTCAACATCAACCGCTCGCCGCACTTCTGGGAGCAGCCGGAGGAGTTTCGCCCGGAGAGGCCAGGGCTGGTACCGCTTCTGCTCGCCTATCTCTCTCCTGTTTCCGTTCCCCTGCTGCTGACCTCTCTCCTCCCCGCCCCTCCCCCTTTTCCTCACTTCCCTTTCCCCCTTCAGGTGTTCAATATCAACCGCTCGCCGCACTACTGGGAGCGGCCTGAGGAGTTTCTGGGCGCACGTATTTCCCATCCACCCATACTGTCCCCTCCACTCTTTTCCCCAACAGTCCCCCAACTCCCCTTCCCCCCTTCCCCCCTTCCCCCCCCCCCCCCCCCCCCCCCCCCCTTTGGGTGTTCAACATCAACCGCTCGCTGCACTACTGGGAGCAACCAGAGGAGTTTCGCTGGGAGCGGTTTTTCTCCCGTCCGGCCTTCCTGCCCACGCCTCCCCGACGTGCATCCCCAACGGGCTGGAGCTGCTGCTGCACACCAAAGCTGGGCTCTGGTGCACGCTGAAGCCCAGGGGCGCTGCTGCTGGGGCTGGAGCTGCTGCTGCAACGGCGACAGTGACGGCATGATTGTGGATGCTGATGTTCTCTGACAGATTCAGTGTGCGTTCCCGTCCCGCCTGCTTCCCCACCCCTCCCCAACGTGCATCCGCGTTTCAAGGTTTGTGGCCGAGAGTTGCCGCCTCATGACGTCGCTCTCTGCCACCCCGCCCTTGCCGGCCGCACTGTCAGATGGCGCACCGCCCATGGCTGAGGGGCCAGCACTGCCACTCCCACTTCTTTCTTTAGCCATCAAGAAACCACTTCTTTCTCCCACTCCCACTCCCACTCCCACTCCCACTCCCACTCCCACTCCCACTCCCACTCCCACTCCCACTCCCACTCCCTCTCCCACTCCCACTCCCTCTCCCACTCCCTCTCCACCCATGAAATGCCAGTCATTTTCATTCAGGTGGCGTCTGACTTCGCCTTGCTGCCCTTGGGTGGCGGGCTGCGCAAGTGTGTGGGCGACTAGTTGGTGCTGATGGAGTCCACAGTAGCGCTCGCCATGCTCAGATTTAACATCTGCCTGGAGGACACAGAGGTGGTTATGGGCACCACCATGCACACCAAGGCGGGGCTCTGGTGCACGCTGAAGCCTAGGGACACTGCTGCTGGGGCTGGGGCTGCTGCTGCAGCAGTGACAGCGACCGCATGATTGTGAATGCTCAACGTGCGCCTGGACGGTCCGCATAAGGAGACAGAGATGGCGATGGGCGCCACCATGCACCCCAAGGCTGGGCTCTCGTGCAGGCTGAAGACAAGGGGGGGTGCTGCCGCGGCAGCTGCAACAGCAATTGCATGATTGTGTCAACTTATACATATTATCTATGTAGAAGTTATAGGCTAGACTGAGGTATGCTTCTAGTGAGTACAACCAACTAGTATTTGTTCTAGGTTTCCACCTCTAGTAATCATTCGTTTCTACGTTAACATGGTATCACGCTTAGGTTAGGATCCCCCCGCCTACCGCTTCCGCCCGTCGCGCCTCCTAGGCCCCGTCGCGCCCCCTAGGCCCCGTCGCGCCCCCCCTGGGCCCCGTCGCGCTCGTTAGGCCCCGTCGCGCCCCCCCTGGGCCCCGTCGTGCCCGCTGGGCCCCGTCGCGCCTCCTAGGCCCCGTCGCGCTCCCCCTGGGCCCCGTCGCGCCCACTGGGTCCCGTCGCGACCCCTAGGCCCTAACGCGCCCCCGCTGGGCCCCGTTGCGCCTCCTAGGCCCCGTCGCGCCCCCCATGGGCCCCGTCGAGCCCGCTGAGCCCCGTCGTGCCTCCTAGGCATCGTCGCGCCTCCTAAGCCCCGTCGCGTCCCCCCCCTCTGGGCCCCGTCGCGCCCGTTCGGCCCCGTCGCGCCCCTCCTAGGCCCCGTCGCGCCCGCTGGGCCCCTTCGCGCTTCCTAGGCCCCGTCGCGCCTGCTAGGCCCCGTCGCGCCCCCCCTGGGCCCCGTCGCGCCCGTTAGGCCCCGTCGCGGCCCCCCTGGGCCCCGTCGTGCCCGCTGGTCCCCGTCGCGCCTCCTCGGCCCCGTCGCGCCCCCCCTGGGCCCCGTCGTGCCCGCTGGGCCCCGTCGCGCCCGTTAGGCCCCGTCGCGCCCGCTGGCCCCTGTCGCGCCTGCTGTTAGCGCTCGCCCGCCTGGCCTCCTCCTAGTGCCGCTCGGCCTCCTCCTAGTGCCGCCCGGCCTCCTCCTAGTGCCGCCCGGCCTCCTCCTAGTGCCGCCCGGCCCCTTCCTAGCGCCGCCCGGCCTCTCCTCAGCGCTGCCCGGCCCCTCCTCGTGCCCGACTGGCCCCTCCCAGCACCAGCCCGGCCCTAGAGCACCTGCCCGCCTCCCCTGCTCGGCCTGCCGTGTCCTCTCGGGCCCTGTGTCTTCTGCTTGCCTGCGCTGGGACGCCTAGCTGCTGCCCTACTGGAGAGTGCTGCCGCCGTGTCCCCGCGCCGCTGTGCTCCTGTGCCGCTGAGGAGCTGTGCTGCTGTGCCGCTGTGTCGCTGAGGAGCTGTGCCGCTGACCCTGCACGATGGCTGACTTTGTGCTCCGCCTGGACGCTGAGGGCCACACGGTTGACTTCGCCGCCTGGCTCTCCGATCTTCGCCGCCAGCTTACAGGTCAGCGCCAGGATGGCCACTCTCTGGTTGTCCATGCTGATGGCTTGCTCCCCCGTCCCCCTGCACCTACTCCCCTCCCTGCTGACCCCTCCTCTGATGACCGTGAGGCTTTCTCTACTGCTGCGCTAGCCTGTGCGGTCTGGGACTCACGCGATGCAGTAGCTCAGGTTGCTATTAGTCACGCCCTCCCTGTGTCTGAGCGCTCGCGTTTTGCTACTGTTGAAACGGCCAAAGCTTATTTAGACGCCGTTATTGCTCGCTATTCCACCCCTGCCTCCGCTTCTGCTGGCCGCTTGCTCTTTCCGATGCTGTTCCCAGACCTGGCTGCCTTCCCTACTGTCGCAGATTTTGCCACTCATTTGCGTGCCCTAGAGACTCGCTATCGCACTGCCAGCACTGCTGCCCAGCTCACTGCGCTCCCCCCTCCTTTCTGCATGACGCTCTATTTTATCGCTATGCGCCTGCCAGACCGCCTCGCTAGTGCTCGCGACCACTTTCTTAGCCAGCACCCGGGTGACCTCACCCTGACCGCCTTTGTCGACACCCTCACTGAGATCGAGACTCGCCAGCGCACTATCGCTCAGTCGAGCGGTGCGCCGGCAGTCTCTATCTTTCACGGTTGTGCCCCATCCCCGTGCACGTTCACTGACGTTTCGGCTGCGGTCGCCACGGCGACCCCTCTTACCGAGACGGCTGCTGCTGTCCACCCGCAGCAGCGCTCGCGTCGCGGTGGCCGTGGCCGCCAGGGAGGTAGGGGTGGTGACGCAGGTGGTAGTGGTCGTGGTGGTGGTGACGGTAGTCCGCCTGAGGGGACTACCACCGGTGGGCAGGAGCAGCAGTCCCAGCAGCAGCAGGACCAGCCCCAGCCGCAGCCGCCGTCCCAGCAGCACCCGCCGCAGCCGTGGGCTCGTCTCCCGCCTGGTTGGCCCGGCACCTCCGGAGGCGGTGGCCGTGGTGGCGGCCCGCGCAGCTTGGCGTCTACTAGCGGCTCCAGTGCTGTGACCTGCCAGTACCAGCTTCAGACCGGGCCTCTCCGCGGCACTCTGTGCCGCCGCCCGCACCCGACCGCCCACTGTTTCCGCCGCCTCGACGATCTTTTTCGTCGTCGCTTTGGCCCGGCCCCGGACCTCCCTGACTGGCACAGCCTGCTCCGCCAGGGCGTGCCGATCTTTGAGTTAGACATGGATCAGATAGGTGCTGCTTTGCATGCTTTGTATGCTGACGCTTCTAGTGTTGATGGATCTTACTACCATGTGTACTCTAGTTTAGGTGTTTCACCCTTGTGTAGCTTAGCTTCCCCTGCTGCGACAGGCGTAGGACTGCCTAGGTTGCCTAGTCTAGTCGCTGCACCGGCTCCGTCCGCGGCCTCCGCCACTGCGTCGCTGTCCTTCACTCTCGACTCTGGTGCTTCTGCCTGCTTCTTCCGCGACTGTTCCACGCTCACGCCGCTTGCTGCACCTGCTGTTGTCTCTCTCGCTGACCCCTCTGCGGGTCCGGTCGTCGCGCGCAGTTCTACGTCCCTTCCCTGTCCGGCAGTTCCCTCGGGCTCCCTTACTGGCCTCCACGTTCCCTCGTTCTCCAGGAACCTGGTTGGTGTCGGCTGTCTCCAGGACCTCGGCGTCACCACCACGTTCCCCGGGCACGAGCGGTTCGCTGTCTGTTCTGAGGCTGTCTCAGGTTCCCCCCTTGCGACGTTCCCCCGGGACCCGGTGTCCGGTCTGTTTACCCTACACACCGCTTCCCCCCCGGTTGGTGCGTCCTCCCAGGTCGCTGCAGCTTGCTCGTGTCGGTCCCTCACTCACCCCTCCCTTCTCTGGCACCACCGCTTAGGTCACCCTGCTCTCCCGCGTCTGCGTCACATGTCCCAGCACGGTCTTGTCTTAGGTCTCCCCGCGTCGCTCCCTGCCCTTCCTCCCTCGACTGCGCCACCGTGCACGCCTTGCGTCGAGGGTCGGCTCCGCCGTGCTCCTCACTCCTCCTCGCTGCGTCCTGCTACTGCCCCCCTTCAGACCCTGCACTTGGACGTTTGGGGCCCTGCCCCCGTCCCCGGACCGCGCGGTGAGCGCTACTTCCTTGTGCTCGTTGACGACTACACGCGCTACACCACGGTGTTTCCCCTGGAGCGGAAGGCCGACGTGCCCGACGTTCTTCTCCCGTGGGTTGTAGCTGCGCGTCTCCACCGCGGTCTCCCCGTGTTGTGTCTCCACTCCGACCGTGGCGGCGAGTTCGCCTCTGGTCGGCTTGGACAGTTCTGTCGTGCGGAGGGCATCACCCAGTCGTACACGTTGCCGGACTCGCCACAGCAGAATGGGGTTGCTGAGCGCCGCATCGGCTTGGTCATGGAGGTCGCCCGTACCTCCATGATCCATGCCGATGCCCCCCATTTTCTGTGGCCGTTCGCTGTTCGCTACGCGGCTCACCAGCTTAACCTGTGGCCACGCTCCCAGCGGCCGCAGGTTTCGCCGACCCTCCTTTGGACCGGGTCCCCCGGTGACGCGTCTGCGTTCCACGTCTGGGGCTGCCTTGCTCACGTTCGTGCCTCTGGCACGGACAAGCTCACTGCCCGCACTGTCCCCTGTGTCTTCCTCGGTTTCCCCCTGGACTCGTCTGACTGGCTTTTCTACCACCCGCCGTCTCACCGCTTCCTCCACTCTCGTGACGTCACCTTTGACGAGTCCGTCTCCTTCTACCGCCGCTTCCCTCACCGAGGTCTCCCAGTTGCCCCCCCCCTTTTCCTTGCTCCCTCTCCCCCGGTAGCCCCTGCCCCTCTCCCGCCTCGTCCTGCCCCGTCTGGTGTCTCCCACGTTACTCCCCTCCCGTCGGTTGTCCCCGTTGAGGAGTCTGCTGACTCTGGTGGTACCCCCGGTCCGTCCTTGCCGCGTCCCCCTTCCCCAGTGCCTCCGCCCCCACTGTCGCAGTCGCCGACCCCGCTGCCGCCGCCGTCGCCGTCGCCGCCGCATCCGTCGCCGCTGTCGCCGCCACTGCCGCCGCTGCTCTCGGCCCCTGGGGGTGCTGGTGTGGAGGAGGGTGTTCGTCCTGCGGCTTCTGGGGGTGCCGCTGGTGTTGGAGGGGGTTCTCGCTCTTGGGGTGTTGGTTCTGGGGGTGCTGCTGTTGAGTGTTCTGCCGACGGTCGTTCTGCCTCTGCTGGTCCGAGAGTTCCGGCCCAGCCGTCGTCGCCGCCACAGCAGCCGTCGCCGCCGGTTTCCGCTCTCCGCCTGCTCGGCCTTCCCTCCCCGGACCGCGCGCCGGTGTCTCCCCCACCGCCTCCTGACCTCCCTGTCTACGGTCCTGTGTTCCCGCCGCCAGACTCGTCTCCGGCCCGTCTTCCTCCTCGTTCCCCTCCTGTGTCTCCTCCGCTGTCCCCTGACCCTACCCCTCCGTCTCACGTTTGGGCTCGCCGTCCCTCCCGTGCCCGTCCCGTCTCTCCTGTCCTGCCCACCCACCCTATGTTGCTCCGTTCCCACTCGTCTCGTCCTCCCCTCCTCCCGTCCCCTCCTCCCTCGTCCCTTGCTGTTGCACCTCCTCCGTTCTCTGACTACCTCCGTGCTGCTCGTCCCCTTGTCCCTCGGGTCCTTGCCTCTCTTGTTACCGACCCTGCTGTTCCTGTCTCGCGCCTTGACGCGCTTGTCGCTGCTGTCGCTGACTTCGCTTCTACCCGCCGCCTTGACTACGCTACCGCTCTGGTCTCTGACCCTGCCCGTCCTCTGTCCGTCGGGGGTGCTCCTGCCCTTGGCAGTGACGTCCTAGAGGACAGGCAGTACGAGCTGGCTTTCCTTTCCGAGGCTGCTCCCCATCTCTGCTCCATGCTGTTAGTCCCTGAGGGTGACCCAGACGCCTTCGACATCCCGACCCCTCGCACCTACGCTGAGGCCACCTCGGGACCTTGGGCCTCTCAGTGGATAGCTGCCATGGAGCAGGAGATGGCATCTTGGAGATCCACCGGCACTTACGTCGACGCAGTTCCCCCGCCTGGGGTGAACGTAGTCGATGGTCGGTGGCTCTTCAAGGTGAAGCGCCCCCCTGGAGAGCCGCCTGTCTTCAAGGCGCGCTACGTGGCCAGAGGTTTCAGTCAGCGCGAGGGGGTTGACTTCTTCCAGACCTTCGCCCCGACCCCGAAGATGACCACTCTTCGGGCGCTGCTACACGTAGCAGCACAGCGTGACTACGAGCTTCACTCTCTCGACTTCTCTACTGCCTTTCTTCAGGGCAGCCTACACGAGCAGGTCTACCTGCGCCGACCACAGGGCTTCACTGGTACCTTCCCTCCTGGGACCCAGTGGCTTCTCAGGCGCCCGGTCTACGGCCTGCGTCAGGCTCCCCGCGAGTGGCACGACACGCTACGTGCCACGTTAGCAGACCTGCAGTTCTTTCCGTCCTCTGCTGACCCTTCACTGTTTGTGCGTTCCGGCCAGACTCCGTTCTACATCCTTGTCTACGTAGACGACCTGGTCTTCGCTACTCCTGACAGGGACGCACTGGCCTCTGTGAAGGCTGAGCTGCTGAAGAGACACACCTGCACTGACCTTGGAGAGCTGCGTCGCTATCTTGGCCTGCAGATCTCTAGGGACAGAGCAGCACGCACCATCACTCTGACCCAGTCACACTTGGTGCGTCAGGTCCTTCAGAGGTTCGGTCTTCAGTTCTCCTCCGCACAGCCCACACCTCTACCCGTAGACCATGGGCTCTCTGCTCCCGTTCCTGAGGAGCCAGTAGAGCCCAGTGGCCCCTACGCAGAGCTGGTGGGTTGCCTCATGTACCTGATGACTTGCACTCGCCCAGATCTCGCATACCCTCTCAGCATCCTGGCTCGCTTTGTGGCTACAGGCAGACACCGACCTCAGCACTGGTCTGCCGCTAAGAGGGTTTTGCGTTATCTTGCTAGTACATCAGGCATGGGGTTAGTGCTAGGAGGACGCAGGCCAGTGGTCCTTACTGGGCACACAGACGCTTCTTGGGCAGACGACGCTGAGACGCTCAGGTCGTCGCAGGGCTACTGTTTCAGCCTTGGTTCGGGTGCTATCTCTTGGAGATCCACTCGCTCGTCGTCTGTGGCTCAGTCTAGCTGTGAGGCTGAGATCTACGCTGGTGCCATGGCGGCACAGGAGCTCCGCTGGCTGACCTTCTTGCTCACAGACTTAGGTGAGCGGCCTAGCTCTGCCCCGGTCCTGTACGCTGACAACAGGGCCATGATACTCCTGTGTCAGGAGCCTCGGCTTGAGGGCAGAGCGAAGCATATCCAGCTGCGGTACTTCCTCCTGCGCGAGCTACAGCAGCGCCGCCAGGCCCGCGTAGTTCACTTGGCCTCAGGTGCCAACACAGCTGATATCTTTACTAAGGCGCTTGCGCCTAAAGATCATCAGCGGCACTGTGTACAGCTTGGTCTTGTTCCTATAGCTGCTCCCCTGTTAGGATCCTGATTGTGTACTCTCTATTATATATGCTTGTCAGACTGGCCTTGTGGCCTTACCTCCAGTGGCTGGACTAGTAGTGCCACCCTGGCTTGCTTGAGTTTTGGTTGTATTCTTGCTGACTGGTCTCCAGACCCCTGCCTCAGTGGTTGGACTAGTAGTGCCGCCCTGAGCTGTTTGCTTCTTGTTTAGTTTCACCCCTTGTCTAGCCTAGGGGGTGTGTCAACTTATACATATTATCTATGTAGAAGTTATAGGCTAGACTGAGGTATGCTTCTAGTGAGTACAACCAACTAGTATTTGTTCTAGGTTTCCACCTCTAGTAATCATTCGTTTCTACGTTAACAGATTGCTGGGAGGCAGTTGAACGGTAACTTAAAATGTAGTTGTGCTAGATCAAACTGCTGTTGTGTGGGGATGCTTGCTGCACCAGCGTTGGGCATTTGAAGTGAGATCCACATGATGATTCTTGCTTGGGCATACCCATCCCACCTGACACTGCCTTCGTAAAACATTATTTCCACAACCGAATGAAAGAAGCATACATGTGCCTGCAACTGATCTTCTGATTACAAATATCAACATAGGGTCCTAGGACATGTACATGCACAGATAACCCAATATGGCAAAACCTACGTACAAGCAGCACATCTATTCCCAACAGCAGCTGGGACTTGTGACATTCCAATCACGGATGCTTCAGGAGCTCCTCCTGTGCACCCTGCTGCTGCACCAGCCTGGCCTCACCTGCCTCTCATGCGCCAAGCCCTCTCTCTTCCCCGCCTGCTGCTTCACCCCCTCACTGCCACACACACCACTTGCCACTGCTCTGCCACCGCCCCTCCCACCTGCTGCTGCCCTCCCACCTGCTGCCTTCACAGCAGCCTGCCTTCCCCCTGCTGCCCTCCCTGCTGCTCTCTCCCCACACCCACCCCCCTCTCTCCTCTCCACCTGACTCGCATGGCTGCTGCTGGCCTTGCCAGCCTGGCCTTGCATGCTAGCAGATGGTGCAGATAGTGCAGCACCCTTAACTGATGATGGACCAGCGTGTGATTTCGTTACTCCTGCTGCAGCACATGGTGCTTCAGACTCTGCTACAGTTGCTGCTGCTGCAGATGCGGAAGCCACCGTTGTGCGAGTCAGCTTTGCCACAGCATCAGCATACTTGGCGACAATCCAGTCTGGCATTGCCATTTTGGTCTTCTCAATGTCCATGGCCCGTACCTCCTTGCTCAGCTTGTCGAACCTGGCTTGCCACTCTTCATGTGAACGCAAGATCCTTCCACGCGCCTCGCCACACATGATAAGCCCATTGCTGCTGAAGTCGTTCTCGCCTGAGCTGCTTTCAAACTGCACCTGGCAAACCGTCTCCGCAGCTGGGCTCACCGATGGCGCAACCGACTTCTGCACTGGGCTCACTGATGGTGCAGCTGATTCTGCTACACTCGCTGCTGCTGCAGATGCAACAGGGACGTTTTTCCGAGTCAGCTTCGCAACATCCTTAGCATACTTGGCCACTATCCAGTCAGGCATGGCTGCCTTGGTCTTCTCAATGTCCATGGCACAGATCTCCTCACACAGCTTCTTCCAGCTCGCCTCCCTCTCTTCGCGTGAGCGGATAACACTTCCACTCGCCTCACCAGACACCCTCAGCCCGTTGCTGCTGCACGCGTTCGCGCTCTCAACTGGGTTCACTGATGGTGCAGCAGCATCCGCTACAAGCACTGCTGCTGCAGCTGCAGGAGTCACGCTAGTATCCGTCACCGCTGATGCAGTCAGAGCCACAGGAACCACAGGCGACACCAGAACCACGGCCACAGGCGTAACCACAGAAGATGGTGCGACCGGAGCAGCCGCAGCCTTCCCTCCAAACCGGCCAATTCCCAGCCTCTTAACGTCCGATGAGTCAGTGATCTGAACCTTCTTTATCTTCTGAAGGCGATCAGCATCGGAGTGGCCTTGGGAGGAAGACGCCTGCATCTGCTTCGTCAGATTCTCCAGCAGGGGCCTCACGCTCTTCAGACGCACGCTGCTGCAGGAGCTGACACAGTCGCTGGTGTTGGTCGCCGTCTTGGTGTCGCACGCAGCAGCAGGGAGTAGTAGATCCGGAACTTTATGAACGGCTGATTTGACAGGAGAGTATGCAGAAGGAGAGAAAGCCGTACAAGGCGTGCCGAACCTGCCAATGCCTCTGGTAGGCGTTGCAGGACTGGAGGTTGGTGAAGCAGCGTTGATGGTCTTCGCCATTCCGCCGTTAACGACGCAGCAATCCGCACCAGAGGCCATGTTAGTTGATTGTAGTTGAGCAGATCGCTTGAACAGAAGCTTGTTGACGGATGTCCGGTCGTATGATCAGGAAAAGCTAGCTGAAATCGGCTTGGCTTTCAGTCAGATTTCGCAAAGCTGAGAATTGTGCTCTCAGCAGTTGAAGAGCAGGGGTACCAAAAGTGTTGAACCAACGATGAGAATGACAAGATCAAACTCTCGCGAGCCCATTACTACTCCACTCCGCCCTCGGCCGCTCAAACCCTCGCCTCGAGGCCCCAAATGGCTCCACTGGCTTCCCATTGGGGTTTCACCAAACGTCTGCCTCGCTATCCCCCTTGATAGCACGCCATGTCACGTGAAATCGGCGGTTTGAAATGACAGAGAAGGTTCATCGCAGGCATTCCCGAGGCGGCTTCGGTTGGGGTTGCAGATTCGTGCATCATGGAGCCGCCTGATCTACTTTCCCGCCAACAATTCGAACCAAACCACGGACGAGCGTAGGCGAATCATTTCGCCAGGCCATCGCAAATCCGCTAACGACGGATCCGGCGAACGAACGTTTGGTCGAGCTTCACTTTCGTGTTTGCTCGAGACGCCTTCTCCGTTGGCGCCTCTTTTTCGTCGCCAGCTACATGCTGATGAGAATCTGGAGCCGTCGACTGTTACCATCGATCTGTAACTACTGACGAGCTGGGCGAATGGTTTTCGAGGAATCCCCAGACGACGGATCTGGCCGTCTGTTTCGCTCGCAGAGGGATAATCGTGAGTGGCTCCAGCTGGATGACAGTGATGGGGGCTTTGGGATTGCCGAGCAAGAGGAGGGAGGGAAGCTGAATCTGTCCGCTTTGTTGAGTCCTTCGAATATTCGTCATAGCGAGTGTACTGCAAATCGATCCCACCGCACGATATATTTCACAACTTGCATAGGGTTTGAAAGAACTTAGATGCAGTCAAGTCGACAATTAAAAAAAAATCATCACAAAATTTCGTGTCTAAAAAATATTAGAGAAGATTATTTGATTATAGTAGAAAGGCAATATGCCCAATATGAATTGTCGTGCCCAAGGTATTTTATTGCTAGGTCGCTAATGGGAAACTGGCCAAATGGAGAGCTCTCTGTTTTTTTTTGGATAAAAAGGGGGTTTCTTCGTTGGTGTTATCAAACTTAGAAGTTCTCCAAGGCAGAATGCGAATCCGAATAATAATGCAATAGAAAAAAAATGGTCACGTCAAATAATAACCTAGTAAAGGACGTGGCTAGGCCCGAAGTAGAAATGGGAAAATGGAGAGTTCAAGCTAGATTGAGACTCTAGCGAATGAATCGGATTGTCAGGCCAGACCGAGGATCTGTCTAGTGAAGTGGTTAGGCCAGATTGTGACTAGCAATTGAAGAGATCTCGCTAGAGTAAAATTAAATTTCGCAAGTGAAGTGGTCAGGCCCTTGAAAATCTTGCATTTTCAATGGACAGGCCAGAAGGGAATTCTGGTAAATCGAGTGGTAGAAGGCTAGAAGGAGAATTTGGCGTGAATTGGTCAGACCATAGGCAAATGGTTAGGACATAATGCGAATCTAGCAACAGAGGTGATTAGGCCAGCATGAAAATATGTCAATTGATGTGTAAGAATGTGGCAAATCAGGTGGTCAATCTAGATCTAGAATGTGACAAATGAAGCGCTCTGGCCAGAACGAGAATCTGGCAAATGTAGTGGATGGTCCAGAATGAGTGTAGCAAATGAAGTCGTCATGACGCAGTAAATTGGGACAAGCTACAACGAAACACTAGCAAAACAAATGGCAAGGAGAGAATGAGAATCGGAAAAATGCAGTGATCAGGCCAGCATGAGAATCTGAAACATGCTATGGGCAGACCAACATGAGTATATGGCAAAAGAAGTGGTCAGGCTAGAATTAGAATGTGACCAACGAGAATTTGGCAAACGTGGTGGGCACGCCAGAATGAAAATGTGGCAATTTAAGTGGGCAGGCCATAATGAGAAATCGGCAAATGAAATGGTCAGCCTATAATGAGAGCCTGAAAAGCAGGGCAGTGCGGGCGGGTTGAGAATTTGCCAAACGAAGTGGCTGTGCATTATCAGAAGAGGGAAGATGATTGGTCGGGTTAGGATCAAAATCCGGAGAATGAAGTGGCAATGCCGGGATGAGGTGAAGAAATCAGGAAGTATAATAAACTGTAGCAGAATCTTGCAAGTGAAGTGGTCATTTGAGAAGGAGTTTTTGGCAAATGGACCTGTCAGGCCAGACTGGCTAACGAAGTGATCAGGCCACAAATGTGGCGTTTGAAGTGGAGAGACCAGAATGAGAATCTGGCAAATCAATCGGTATACTGTAATCTGGCAAGCGAAGTGGGAAATGAATAATTAAGGCCAGGACGAGAAAATAGCAAAAAAGAGAGGCAACGCCAGAAAGAGAGTCTGGAAAATGAAGTCAGGCCAGAATGAGAGTCTGGCATAGCATGTGAGTCAGGCCACATCACCAAAATACCCTGACCCAAAGGACACTTTTGGGCCACATTGGGGTCAGCGTCGTTAGGCCACATTTAGGTCGAGGGGTGTGTTAGGGTCGAATGGCCCAAAAGGGACATGTCGAGGTCACATGGAGGTCATCTGGGGGCAGTGTGCGCTACAGGCAGAGTCCCTTTGCAGGCCTTATGAGGGTCATACGTGAGTCAGGCGAAGGACCGTTGGGTGTCAGTTGAACGACACACTGTCAAGCCATATACTCATGCCGGACTCGTTCACATACAGAACACACTCCCCCCACCGGAACGCCCTCATGATCTCCAACCATTGAGTCACCACCATCCAAACCACATAAGCAGCTTCAGCTACAGCAGCCTCGCTCTCAATAGGGCTTGGGGAGAGGCACATCTCCGTTCGTGTCCTATCTTGAAGGCCATAATCAAACTACCACACAAATGCACGAAACGGTGGCATCAACCGTCGAGCACTGCAATTACGGCAAAGAACCACCTCAACAGGCGATTCTAGAGCCATATGTGCCACTTACTGATAGGATGACCCATCCGATGTGGTAGGGGATGAGGACGAGTGCCCAGTCCTTGTAGGCGGCATAGGCGGCATCGTAGAAGATGTGGCCAGTGAATGCGTGCAGGTCCTTGTCAGCGTGGCTCCAGCAGCCAACGATCTGCTGCAAGTTGGGCTCTGTGGATTACGGGTGGGATGACGGGCAGATGAGGGTGATGTGAACAGGACCCCTGTGGCCTAACTAAGCATACCACTGCTCCAGCTACATGCTTTAGGCACAAAGCCAGCAAAACAGCAACGTTCTTACATGGCCCATGCTTCAGCAAAAGCTGCTACTTGTCCTCCACGCTAACCTTCAGTCCGTACACCCCCTCGGCCACCACCTCGATTTCGAGGCCGTCAACAATCACCCTCCACGCCATGCTAGAAGAGTCTGTCTTGAACTTGGTGAATGACTTGTTGTAGCGACTGCTCCATTCCCGCCTTTTCAGCACGAGCTTCACATCCACCAGGCTGACCCGGTACTTGCAACGCAAAACGATCTACATCGCCTCCTCAAGGCAGCCATTAGATGGAAAGTACATCATACCATTCGCACTGCAACACCGCAAGAGAAGGTCCATTGCGGCCTTCACAAAGGTCTGCATCATACGCACAAACACAGGTGATGGAAAAGCTGGGCATAGGGCAACGAGGCTTGGCCGCCACGGCGATCGCAGAACACAGCAAGACATCGCAGCGCTGTCTAGTGGGGTGCAGGCTTGGAGCAAAGCATAGCAACAAGAGCGACAAACTGACATTGATGTCCTTCTCATCCGCGAGCCCTGCAAGAAGCTCCTCAGACTCAACATCCGTATCAAAGTCCACCGTCTCCTGGAGCGGCTCTGTGGACTTCAACCGCTTAAGACCCCTGTTGCATGCAGGGTAGACTGGGCTGTGGGTGTTCTTTCACCATCGGCCCTCGCGGATGTCCGCGGGCATTTTGACCTAGCTGGCGTGCAAGGGCACATGAAGCACATGGTCCGCCTCATGAAGCACATGGTCCGTCGCGGGCACCGTTGACTGTTGCACCACTTCCGAACCGACGGCCTGAGCAGTCGCTGCCTTCTTTGCTTCGATACACGACAGCAGTGCGTTGAGCTTTGCCATGTCCGCGTCCGCCTCCTCCTCCCTTTCCCCCGCATCTCTCTTGGGGGTCGTCGAGTCACCCATGTCTAGGCCGTGCCGAGTGGTGCCGCTCGCAATGATGAATGGGATGAACCTCTAGCCAACAGCACGGGCATCGTGTAGCTGACCTGCCCACGAGCCCGCTGCCAGGTCACAGCTACCCTGCCCACCGGGACATGAAGCACACGCCGACGCATCGTGTCGGTGTGTGGGTTCTGCATGAACAAGGGTTTGTACATTCATGATAATAGCGGGGGGGACATTGCCATCAGGAGACATGAGTGACAAGTCGGGCAGATAGATTTCAGGATACTCGCTTGCTCCGATACCGGGTGAGGACATGGCATGACAGCGAAGTGGTGCGCCATCGTTATCTGCCACTGAGTGCTGGGGTCTCTGCTGACCGACATGCGTAGGAGACCCGCGCTCGGAATGCGATGGCTTCGCCTCCTCGGGATCCACCTCAACCACCTCGTCGTCGGCCACTGGCCGTACCACTGGGGCTGCGCTCTGTCCGCTCGCCGGGATGGGCAGGTGGACAAGGGTCGAGGTTGCAGTCATAGACGGCTGACCATAGACGCTCACATGCTGGCATTGTGAGCTTGCCCTTCCACGGGGAGCCCTTGCCACGGCGAGGACTGCATGCACCGAGTCTGCCATCCGCCCATGCCCGCCTCCTGTCCCTCTGCGCCTTCCGCGATTACCACTGCGACCGCGCCTCGATCCACGTGGTTGTGAAAAACCTGCACGGTTCACGCCACTCGGGGGGATAGGCACGAGCTCTGCCTCGAACTTGTGTTCGTCGCCCGACGCTATCCACTCGACATCCGCGCTATCGCTCCCACTTCCAGTCCCAGAGCTCTGACAAACGATGTGGCGGTGCATGAAAACAAAAGCCCCTTGTACAGAGGGGCATTGTAGTTCACCCATGCTGCCACTCCTGCATCCATTGAACTTGGCCTCCCAGGTCCATTTCACTTGATGGCGCAAGGCATGTAGCAAAAGCACCGGCGGAGACGTCGCGGGCACTCTCTATGCCTGCGACTGTGAAACAAAAGGGTT